TTACAGGCATTCAAGCATTTTCTGTGAACTTAAGTCTACTTTTCGGTAATCTTCGTATAATGCTTAAGTTTTTCATTAGAAAAATAAGAGAGTTAACTTCCATAAAATGATCTTCCAAAATTGTTTCCACACTACAGCCGTTTGAGAATTTTTAGAAAACTCACTTTTACTTTTTTGCAACCCCTGTATAATGAGAAAATTTAAGTTTCCAAAAATAGCCGATTAATTTTCATAAAATGAGCTTTCACAGTGGGAAAACGTTTCCCAATCCAATAAACCGTAAGCCACATCGTTCCAACATTGTGGTGCTAAAATGGCTCTTCAGGAAACTCTAATGCAAAAAATGAAAAAACTGTTCTGAGATATTGGCTCAAAGTATCACTTAACCAATTTTCAAAGAAAACAAAAGGCATACAGATCAATTTCTATACGTTTGAAAGAACAATTATCACGATTTGCCTAATTTGAGGTGTATGTTTTCATCGACCGCTGTATAATGTAAACAGGTCCATCTGCAAAAAAAGCAAGCGAGTCGTGGAACCTCTAAAAAATATGGGCTTTGAAACCTGCAAAGATGTTCGAAATCAATACAATCGTTTTCAAGATACAGCCCTTTAAACATTGTGCCTATAAGATTTTGCCAACTTTGTTGTTTAAATTTGTATCTGCTGCCAAAGGGCACTTATCAAAAAACTGGCAAATACGTCTGGAGATATTGATATTAACTTACTAAAGGCCCATACAGAAATCCGAAAAAAAAATTATTGCCAATATGGCAGACCTCCATATTTTTTGTACTTTTGCATCAATTTATTATTCACCCTGTATAACTTCGAAAATGCATTTCTTCGAAAAAAATATTCTTCTCCCACGTGGTCTACAACATGGCTTATCGAATACCACAAACCGCATTAAAAACAAAAATAAAATAAAAAAGTTATTACAAATTGAATAAGGTGCTAAAAATTGCTTGTCCCGTTTTTTTTGGCGAGCAGTTTATTAGCTGAATTAAATTCAGTTTTTTTCGATGGTGAATTTGGATTTGGTTGAAAAAAATTAATGTTTACTCTCTGGATCAGAAGTCACCTAAAATTAAAATTTTACATCATCCCTTTTTAGGCTGCTTGTGGGCATTATTCTTGTAAAGTGTACCATCAAATAAATAAACTCAGGCACAGGAATGTTCAAAGAATGTAAAGAAAACAAAAAAATCTCCAGCGCGGCCCTGTTTCACTCTATCTGCACTGCACTACTCCATCTGTTCTACTCTATCTGCACTATTCTCTCTGATCTACTCTCTCTGCTCCACTCTATCTCATCGGAATAGTGGAATAGTTCTGTTCGGAATAGCTCCAGTTCCTGAGTAGCATTGTTCTACTGTATCTGCAATGAAATTACCGCGCAACGGCGAGCTTCGTTCTATCGTTCTAGGTATCAGAGATAGCGCCGTATACAAAATAGTTTGCAATTAAATTGTGGCGGTAAACTTGGTATCGGTTATAAGAGATGGCGCCGTATGCGGACTTAGTGAATTTTTTTCATAAATAAGTAAAATAGGTAAATTTGGTTATTGTCTTTTTTTTTGGATTTTTTCGATTTATTATGTTAGTATGGACAGAGACAAATCCAATAAAACCAACACAACTGTGTTTTATATATATAGATAATAATGATAACAAAATGATCCTCCATTTATTGAATAATTCATTTATTACAAAAAATGTGATAAATGAAGAACCGCTCGACCGATTTTGTGCAAACTTCACATAAACCATCTAATAAATAGTCCGAACAAAGCCTAAACATTTGGTTTGGCTAGGTGAGCCCGTTCTTGAGTTATAAAATTACAACGAAAAGTGGCATTAATTTTTATATAAAAAAGGACGGGAATTGCGAATGACTTCCATTTGACAAAGTACTGTATATAATTGTTCGAAAGATAAATTAGCTCCTTTCAAGATACGAATCAAGTGAAACTTCGCAGCTTTCACTGCACTTTCCCAGAAACCGCCAAAGTGCGGGAATGTAGGAGGTATAAAGTGCCAGTCTTTTTCATATTTTGCAAAATAATTAGCTTCTTTAGAAGGTCCCACCTCTGTAAAAATCCGATTCAATTCTACATTGGCCACAAAATGTTTCAAAACATTCAAAACAGGGAGTACTTAAATCACCGGCTAATACAATGTGCACTGCGTGACTGACAAAACAGACAAATTGTAACAGTCCAAAATTGCATAAATAATTCTTACCTACTTTCGATTTTATATTCAAGATTTCCTTAAATTTGTCAACATTTTCTCTATAAAATTTCATCAATAATCTCAACGGTTGTAGATCCTTTAAATTTCCTAATTTTCAATGGGCAAATTCTATTTTCATTTGTTACTAGTTCCTGTTAATCCATAATTTAATTCAATTTCAAAATCAAAACAAAGCAATGTTTTGATTCCGATTTTAAATTCGATCATCTGTTTTCATAACAAAAATAAACAATTCATTTGTCAAAAATATTTCGTGGGGTGTGTTCCGAAAATCATAATGACCCGTTTTCAAGTGGATGTACCGAACTACTCCGTTCGTACTAACTCTGTTCGGCTATTAAGCGCTATTGATCTCGGAGCAAATTCTAGCGAACCCCGGGTCGATCATTGGTTCGATGGTCTTTGAGATATTTTGTGCATTATCCTTGATTTCGGTTTTTTGACTTTTTTGATTGTCAAAAATTTCTGTCAGCTGGCGGTCGATTAGTAATGTTTCTAGTATCGTCGATTCTTCTTTAAGCCCTCTAATTTTGCAAACGGAACACTTACTCTATGTTGTATTCTTCAAGTTATGATTGTTTTATGGGATAATTATTTGTTGTTAATATCATTATTCGTCAGCCGTTGTTATTTTTCTCGGTTTATATTGTTGTGTGCAATTTTTGGTAAGTGAGAATTCTATCGATTAATTTTTGATGTTTGTGTCGTTATTCTGAATCATCTCTGAGTCTGAATTCCTCCCTTTAGGTTAGCTTATTAATTGAATGCGTAGCACATTTCTTTTCACATCTGGACGTTGGAGAATTAGGGTCTTTCTGAAGATTGTCTTCGCCCTTGTGGGATTTCGACCTTAAATTCTCATTTGAAATTATAACATTTTAGTTGCCTTTTTGCCTTACGTTTTCGTAGTGTTATAATTTTCGCCGAACAATTCGGATTTTTACAACTCCATGTGGTAAGTGGCTTACACGTTTTTTTTTTATAGTAGATTCTGACTTTTTCCATTCAATTATTAGTTGAAAGCTGCCCTAAAGAGTAGAGTATTCTCACTCACTCTAGGATATCCAATCCTCGATCCAGATTTCCAGAGATTTTCGAGGCAAACAAACCCTATTTCCAGCAGGTAAAAACGTAACCTTAATAACTCGAATTTTTGCAAACTCGAGGCACATTTTTCTTAATTAATATCAAAGCTTTATTATGATTCCATCTAATTTAATTAATTAATACATTATTGTTCAATTTTTCTATTAAAATAATTTTAAGAGCTATAGTTTTTTTGTATCGAGTGAATTTGCTATTGGAAACTAATTGAATTACATTATAGTTTCATTTTCTAATTCTATTTATTCATGAAGTGCTTTGCTATTGGTTCCATTACAAATACAGTGTGTATAACAATTTTTTCTCCTAGGGTTTTTTTTTACGAGGGGTTGTACTATACCATCAAGTTTACCCTCACGGTTATAACAATAGACGTTCAATTGTAACCGAAATTGAACTAAAAGGCTAACAGACACCAGCCTAAGTAATCGGACGGTTACTCAAGTCATCAATCAAGTTAACCACAACCAGTAGCCAGGACTAATCTGGTTAATTGAATGAACCACCATCATCTGGAACATTTTGGTATCGTACTAGTTTTAGTTAACTCACATATTATTATTGTTTATTTACATTCTGTCCCTATTTGTACACCACGGTGATCACCTCGGTATTTCAGGGAATAATTCATTGCTTGCCCCCAGTGTGGTAAATGAATTATTAAATAGGTAACTTAACTAGACGTAACCTGTTGAATTTATGTCAACCTACTGGTAGTTCTGGTTACATAAGTGGCAAATAATCGTAGGTAATACCATAAGAGCTTAGATTTAGCCGGATATTTTTTGGCTTGGTCTCGAATACTTACTTTTAGGAAATTTAACGAGAGCTGTTCCGACAAAATCACGAGAGCGCAGCTCGAGTGATTTTGTGGAACAGATCGAGATAAATTGCATGAAAGTAAGTATAAGAGAGCAAGCAAAAAAATATCCTGCTCAAAATCTGAGCTCGAATGGTATTTAGTACGGCAATTCCACGAATGCATAATCAAAATAAAATATGGAAATACTTTTTAAAATGAACAGTTATTGAAGGTACAATTAGAATAAATATTTTCCCCTTACAATTTGACTCTACAGAAAGAGAAGAAGACTCTGTGTTCTCAGGAATTGAATTTTCTATTTCGCTATTAATTCATCTTTAATTGTCCCAAATCGCTGCGTGTTGAAAATATTTTTATTTACAATCATACATGCAATGTTGACTTTACTGACTTTTAAAAAGTTCGAAAATGTCACTTTTTTGACTTTTACTTTCGGCCCACGGGTCGAAAGTTTACTTTCGACCCGTGGGCCGGAAGTAAATGAAATTTTTAAAATTTATTGTATTTTTTGACTTTTACTTTCGGCCCACGAGTCGAAAGTAAACTTTCGACCCGTGGGCCGAAAGTAAATGAAATTGTTAATTATTGTATTTTTGAGTTTTAATCCAAATGAAACTTTCAAAATTCGAATGATTGTAAATAAAATAGTATACATACCTCGGTGAAAAGTTTCATTACTGTCTCGAGATTTCAGATAGACCTCGGCTGCGCCTCGGTCTAACTTAAATCTCTCGACAGTAATGAAACACTTTCCACCTCGGTATGTAATATACTATTAATTTTATTTAAAAATACACTTTTAATAAGCTAAAATGATAGAACTTGTGAATTTTTGTGACAATTATTTGATAGATGATTCAAAAACCAATTTTATATGCAATTGTTACTACGGTAACGATTTCATCAACAGAAAATTTATCCGATTTTTTTATCCAGTTATATTTTCTCTTCCTTCCTATTTATCCGCTAGCAAACTACGATTTTTGACATTTCAAATGGGATTATTTATACATGAGAGTAGATGGAATAGGGGGGTAGACCCCTGCGCTGGCGCTGACCTACTTTCCGTGACCTACTTTCACCAGACGACCCCGCCCGCCCACCAGCCACTTTCCTACCATTCGTCCACCACCAGTCGTCCACCGCGAATTTCCTACCCTTCATCCGCTACCATACACCATATTTATTGGCTCCTAGTTGGGGACTTTTCATTCGTACACGATGTCTGATTCAGTTAACCTCAATCGATTCAATCAGCTTATTGAAAAGTTGTCTAGTGAGTTTAAAAAAAGTGCAAGGTATTACGATATCAATTGTATGCGTAGTAGACCTTCATATGTGGATTGGTATCATAATCTAGCTGAAAAACATTATGGTGCAGCTAGTGCTTGTAACGAGTATTTAATAAACAAAAATTTGTTCAATCTATTGGAAAAGTTGACGAGCTTAGGATTTGACGAGCAAATAGCAGATTTGAAGGATGATATTGCAGATAGAGAGGTAATTAAATATATCGAGGAACAAGAAGAAAAAGTTAGATTTATGGCTGTAGAAGAAGCATTAATTTAATATGGAAGACATTGTGAGAGAATTGTGTGAAGACTTTCTAATGTCTAAAGTTTGTTCCGAATTTTATGCCATAGATGGACAGGAAACTGAGGCTCAGGATTTGAGACTATACTTGAGATACATGGAGCATGCACATCAATGTGAAGAAGCAGCACAAACCTGTCGTGAATATTTGATAAATAAAAATTTTGAAATGCTTCTATGGAAATTGAATAGGTTAGAATTAACTAACTGTACTAACTATTTAACCAAATGTATGAAAAAACTAGTTTAAAAAATCTTTTGTATTATTTAATTAAAATGATTTTTACATATTTAATCAATGAAACAATAATCTTAGGCTTTAGTAATAATTGAAAAAACTTTGATATTATAAATGAATAAAAAAAGAAACACAAATTTTTTGTAAAGTTTTATTACATAAAAATCTGATCATACAAGAAAAAAACATTTGATAAGGCACAGATACATGGTGATTTGTTGTGATAAAAGCAGCTTGAATCCATTTTCTTCAAAGAGGGTTGTTCATCTAGCTCTATTACTGGTTTGTTGGAGTATTTTCTAACATAATCAGCCTTTTCAGAGCCTTTAACATAGACATAGGAAGCATGAGAACATAAATTTTTGATTATATCTGCAAATTTGAAAAGAGGTGTGAATCCTGCATTCCAGTCGATACAGTGATGATTGTTAATAAGCCAAATAGCCTGTCTATGATGTTCTGGCGATAGATAATGAAATGGAAAAGGGGGCTTAAAAATGTAGTGACTAATTCTTTTTCCATCATAACAAGCCAATTCCTTTACAATAAACTTTTTATTTTCGATAGTAAATCCTTGAACATCCAAAATTATATTCATAATTTCAATAGTGAAAATTTTTTAAACATTTGTTTTTTGGCACTATAGTTTTTTATTTGGTTTTTCAATTTTTCAAGTTTTATCATGTGTTTCAATAGTTGTTTTTCAAAGTTCTTAGACATAATGACAGATATTAAGGAGATACTCTCGTTTTATTTAAAGTTGTTTAACAATTTTATTGAGGGGGTTGTAACTAAATATTTTATCATGTAATATGAGGCAATAAACTGATGTATCCTTCTTAATGTTACTGTTGGTTTCAAATTCAATTCTCATGACTACCGAACCAGTCTGGATAGATTCTTTTTGATGAGAACAGTCAATATGTGTGATTGGTGATATTTTTTTAAAATTTTCAGGATTAAAAATTGGCTCATTATTAAGCCCATAATACGAATTTCTGAAATTTGCAAACATTTCATAAAGGGGTGAAAATTTATTTTCTTTAAAGTTCAAATACAAGTCATGGTAAGGGTAACGCTCAGAATTTAGGAATATTCGTATGTTTGTTAAATCGACATCATCAAACTGGCTCATATCTTTATTAACTTCCCCCTTTCTATTTTCCTGAAAGGCAATAACAACATGACGAGGTGACTCGAGCTTGCTTGTTGTCTTAACTGGCCAGGTATGGCGAGTTGTTTCGGGTAGGGAAGAATATTCAACAATTTCCCAACTCCTAAACCCTATTAAAATATCTTTATTGGTTTCAAGTATTTTTGTCAGGGCAAGCTGTTGAGGTATGTCTACTAAAATATGGGGTATTTTCCAATATATTTTATCAAAAGTGATAGCAGGTATTTCGTTCGTGGTGACTTTAATTTCTAGATCATCTTTAAACAGAACTCCATCCAGATCATTGCTAGCTCTAATTAAAACCAATTCTTGCTTCATATTAATTATTATTTTTTTATAATCTTCAAAAAATCCTAAAAGCATTTTAAGCGGTATGGTTACACAAAATTTTCCATTATCATCAACCAAAATTCTGTCAGCTTCATTTCTATTGGGAAACCAGCCCGCATTTTCATATTTCAAACTTTCGTTGGTATTGAAAGAAAGGTATCCCTTCAATGTAGAAGCCAACCCTACATTTCTCACTGAATCAATAGTAACTCCATTCAGCTCATAACGAATTTCTCTAAAGAGAAATGAAATTCCATTATTAATAAATCGAAGTCTTTTTGTATATTTTCCTTCAGTATTTGCTAATGTCCCTTCAATATATAGAAAACTTTCTGAAGGTAAAGTGTAGGTATCCAATTCTTGAATGGGTATTCGTATTTCATCATTATAGTCAAACTTTGAAGAAATAAATGGTTGATAGCTATGTAGCTCTGAGCTAATAATTGAATTGTCGACGTATAACTTTTCATTTACATTTAAAATATCCATTATATCAACACCTTAAGTCCCAGTGATTCTAAAAATCTGCGATTACGTTGTGTTAGTTGTAAGCTGTTTTTTGTTATACTGGATTGATTTCTACTTTTTTTCTTTATATAAGTTTTTTTAGTATTTATTTCCTCGATAGGTTGTGACTGAATTTTTCTATTATATCTAATAACCATTTTGACCACCTTCAGATTTCAAATGTAGTCTAACTGTTATTGTCTCTTGGCGAAAATTAATAAGATCTCCGTCTTGATCAATTATTTTAACAGTCATGTTGTTAATTGTCTTAACGCTAATTGGAAAATACAATATAGGTATGGGATACTCCACTATTTTATACCCTGCGGCCACTATGGGGTAAAATTGATGAATGATGTGTACAGGTTTACCATTATTGAACGAGCCCACACAAATATTACAATCCACACAAATAGCGTTCACTTTACTAATGTTGACCACATAGTCAGATTCATCAAATACATTAGGAGTAATAATTCTTTCTTTAAATCCCAATAGCTTTCCTACGGAACCTTCCTTCGAAAAATTAATCTCTTTGTTACAAAATATTTGACATTTTAAGGTGTTTGTATTTGGTTTGAGTGAAAACACAATTTTTTCATTTTCAAAAACATTTCTTATTGTGATTTTTATAAATTTTTCTATATCAGCAATGTCATAGGTACCTTCTGGAATCGTGATTATTTTATCATCCATGTACAACTTGTTATTATTTTGATCAATATTCGGAATACTCATAAAAGTTTCAAAATCAGCTAATCCTAAATAATATTGTTTTTTATCATCTAAATATATAGGAGTGTTAAAATCTGCTGACAAAATGGAAGTTTTCCCAGATATGGTAATGGTTGTAGACATTTTAGTAATAAATAGTTTTAGCACCTAGACTTTCCTTTTTATATTATTATTCAGAAATTTTAGTGCTAATTGTCCACAATTGAATGAATTTAATTTTTGTTGAGTTTTATATGTGTAATATATATTAGCTTTACCATTTGAGTTGAAATATGCTACAAGTTCGATAGGTGGTTTTAAATTTCCAAAACTGTCAAAATAAATTACATTTTTATGTTCTTTGATGTAGGCGGTCCAATGGGTTCCGTCATTTTCTTTATTATCCAAGTTAACTATACCACATTCAATTATCTTAATTTTTCTAGGAAGACCATTTCTCATAAAAACACCTCTAAAATTTGGAATTTTCAAATCTTTCACAAATTTGAGTATATCTATATTTGTAAGGGCCCTGCCTGGAAATTTCATTTCGACTTTTTTTTTATGTGGTTTTTTAATTTACCACCTTTATAAGGTTTTAAAAATAATCCTTTGCCTTGAAAACGGTCTGCTTTAGAGGATTTAGACCCCTTTCCTTTCGAAACTTCCATGGCTTTATTATGACGTCGTAATTCTTCTAGTTGATCTCTGCCAGCTTTAGCGTCATTGACAGCTTTAGCAATTCCAGCAGCACCACCCCCTAGAGCCCCTAAAGCTCCCAGCAGTGGAAATAGTAGAGGTAGGAAACCCCCAATTTTTTTAGGAGGTTTTAAAATTCGTTTTTTTCTCAATTTTCCACCTTTCTTTGAACCCAAACCCATGCCAAATTTGCGTTTACCCTTCATGAGACCTGCAACAGTCATGGCGGCAATTTTTTCACCGAAAGAAGAGTCTTTAGCTTTAAATCGCTTCAAAGCTTTGTCGGCTAAAATTTTATCTGCTTCGTGCCTTTTGAACAGTTCTTCAGATTGAGAATATGCAACGTCGTGCTCCCGACACGCGTCATCCAAAGAATTGATACCGACGTCTTCTCTGGCCAATCTTGTTTTCAAGTCAGTGCCTGGGCCACAAAATGTATACCCAGGAATGTGGATTTCAAAAGGAAGTTTGTTTATAAGCTTATTTACTAGACCTGAGCCTTTTTTAAATTTACTGTCTCTCGAAGAATGTGTAATCATCAAAAGAATCAATTTGGAACTAAAACAAAAAAATGGAGGAACTTATATATAAATACTTTTTTCTCTCTTCTTTTTCTTAGTACTATTTCGAATATGAGAATAGAAAAGCAAAAATTTTCAATCCCCATAGTTAATCATGATCAAAAAGTGAGTTCACAGCAATTTAGAAAACATGATGATTTATTTGGTGGAAATTCGAAAAGAGCGCTTATTGTTGGAAGTTCAAATTCAGGAAAAACCAATCTGATGCTTACACTATTAGAGCATCCAAATGGTGTTAGATTTGAAAATTTATATATTTATTCAAAATCACTGACACAACCTAAATATGCATACTTGAGAAAACTCTTACTACCTATAAAGGAAATTGGATATTTTGAGTACGAAAATGATGAGTGTATTGTCCCACCCAATGATCTAAAATCAAATTCTATAATTATATTCGATGATATTCCATGTCAGAATCAAAGTGTGATAAGAGATTATTTCACACTAGGTAGACATAAAAATACCGATTGCTTTCTAATTTTTCAAGGATATTCCTCAATTTTCAAAAGATTAATAAGGGAAAATTCAAATTTAATTATATTATTTAAACAAGATTCGACAAGTTTGAAACATATATATAATGACCACTGCATAATGGACATGTCATTTGATCAGTTTAAAGAAATATGCACTTATTGTTGGAAGGAGCCATATGGATTTATGGTAATTGACAAAGATTGTGACTTAAGTGCTGGTAGATATAGGAAAAACCTCGATTCATTTATATATTTATAAAACGATTGAAAACTAACATGGATAAACGCTCAGCAAGAGAATTAGTCAAGTCAAGAAAAGCAGTAAGGGATAAATTCCAAGCGCTCAAGTTAGCTTCTTCGACCGCACAATTAGAATTGGAGAAAGCGTATAGGCCCATTACACAACCACTTAAAGAATTTATTACAAATATTGGGAAAGCCGAACCACTAACATTTAAAGAGGAAGAAGAGTTTAATCCAAAAGAGGAGTTTTCAACCCCAAAATCTTCCTATAAAACTTCAACTCCAACTAGAGAAAAAACTCGAAAAAGTGGAAAGACTCCTATTCTACCTTTTGAACAACCGTCATTTTTTGATATGTCCATAAATCGATTACCTTCAGTGAGGGAGGTGGCTTCACTAAGAGAGATGCCTCCAATAAGAGAAGAAGTGACATTCGAAAGCTCACCTCAATCATCGACTGAAACAATTGGAAATTTATCTGACATTTTGGAACAAACAAAGCAGTCAATACAAACCTATGTTGGGCATCCAGTCTATCTGGATTGGTTGAGTGATTTTCACGAGTTACCTAGAACGTATATTGACGATAGTGTGAAGGATACAGAACACAAATTTGATCACAATTATGGTATTGTCCACGATCTTGAAACAAACAATTTTTTTTTGGGATCCACTCAAATTCCTGTTAACCTTGTTAGTAAAGATATAAAAGTACTTGATATTCTTTACCCAGGCACCCAAGGGCTGTATGAATTATTATTTAAAAAAGAACCTGTGGGCTATAAAAAAGCCGATTTGGATAATTACATGGATATATTAACTCGAACTAATGCGTACCGCAGAAATAATAATCCCAATGAACAAGTACAAGGAAACAGTTCAGTAAAATACGTTACTATTATCGGACCATATTTATATAAAAAAGGAATCACAAAATCTAAAACAATCATTCCCAGACCGGTATTCGAAAAACCTATAGCTCCTTATAGAGCGGCTAAAAAAAAAAGCTCAGATTGGAAAAGGTCTAATTTTGAAACGTAATAAAAAAAGTACAGATTATGTATATTGGGATAATGTTAATGAGCTAGTAAATCGACTTCGAATTCTATTAGCTTCCAAGGCTGCAGGTCATAATGGACATCAAAATGAAATAATTTCTATTATAGAAGAACTGAAAGAAGCGAAAGTTATACTATAAATAGTGAAAGATGGGGTGAAAGGATCAGTCTTTTGTTTGAAGAGAAATATGACGGTTAATAAATTTGGGACACACATTTTTGATAAATGTGACGATAGCGACACTAAATCACTCAAAGTTGTTAATATTGCAGAGGTAAAATTATTCTATGTTGTAGTTTTACCATTTGTTGGCAAACACAACCCAGCAGAAAAGAATTTGGTGTTATTAGGAGATGGTTTAAGAACTTCATACAGATATCCATTCGAATCGGGAACTATATTAAGCGGTGAATATCCTAAAAAAGATGTGAGTTTGTTGATTAACGGAAAAACTGGCAAATTAGAGGGTAGAGAGATTAAAAAAAAATGATTTGATAGCATTTCGACGTGGTGAAAATAGTTCTTTAACTGAATTTTACGGTGAATTATTAATAAAATGTCAGGTTCAAGTGGAAACTTAGTTATTTAATTATGCGTGTTAAAGAAGACATAGTAAATGAATTGCATAAGCTTGCAAGAAGGGTTTTCAAAAGAAGGCGGGTCATAGTAAAACATCTAAATGATTTACTACAGGCCGACCTGGTTGAAATGCAACCATATGCTAAAATAAACAAAGGCAACAGATATATTTTGGTTGTAATAAATGTGTTTTCAAAGTATGTTTGGGCGCTACCAGTAAAATCCAAAACCGGAAGAGATGTGGCAACAGCAATGGGGCAAATCTTGAGGAGTTTAAAAACTACCCCAAAAAATATTCAAACTGACAGGGGGAGGGAATTTTTTTGCAAAGAATTTGACAAGTTAATGAAAAAATATAAAATAAATCACTATAGCACATTTTCTAATGTAAAAGCAAGCATTGTTGAAAGGGTGAATAGAACTCTTAAAAACAAAATGTGGAAGAAATTTAGTATGCAGGGGAACTACAAGTGGTTAGATATTCTACCAGAAATTGTTAATAATTATAACAACACAACATTCAGCAATAAATATTGAACCTAAGAAAGTTAATAAAAGGAATGAAGGAAAAATTTTAAAGCTAGCTTTTAGTCATGCAAAGACACTCGATCCAAAATTCCCGAAATTCAGAAAGGGTGACTATGTACGCATAAGTAAGCATAGAGAAGCTTTCTCCAAGGGCTACACCCCGAATTGGTCTAATGAGATTTTTCGCATAAAAACATTGAAAATGACCAATCCAACAACATATTTACTTCAAGATGAAAACAGCCAAGATATTTTGGGAGGATTTTACGAGCAAGAATTACAGAAAGTCAAACACCCTGATGCATATCTTGTAGAAAAAATTTTAAGAAAAAAAGGAAATAAAGTTTTTGTAAAATGGTTAGGTTTGGATTCCAGACATAACTCGTGGTTAAATAGAAAGGATGTATCAAATTAGCAAAATAAAACTTTTATTAATATTATTTTTTTTTATTTCAAAACATTTTTCACAACAAATCTATTTTTGAAGACAGTATCTCTATGTATTTTATCCAGGATAGGTTCTAAAATAAGTTGACAATTTTCAATTCTTCTGTTAAAATGGTACTTTTCGATAAGCTCTTGAGACACCATTCTTGATCTCCTGTAGGCAAAGTTCCATGCAACCATTAAATGAGTTTTGTTTCTACTTTCATCAAAAGAAACTGCTTTTTTCATGGCTACGTTTCACTTTCAAATGTTCAATTAATTGCTTCGGGTAACAGATGAGACACTCCAACATTGTACTGACATTTTCACTATTTGGATGGTCTTTCAGGCACAGGCTGTCTTGAATTTTTTGCAGGTTGTCTTCTTCAATGGGTCTAGAGCTTTTGAAAAAGTTCAAATATGTATTGAACTTTTGTTTTCGTAAAATATCCAAACGATATTCAATTAGAGGTGCAAGTTCCCAAAGCTTGCAGACACTTTCGTTGCCTAGGTAAATATAACCATTACCTTTTACAATTTTTATTAAGGGTATTTGATCAAGTTTTTCAAAGTAAATAGCAACTTTTTGAATATATATTGGCTCATTGAAATTGTTATAGGAACAACTGTAACAGCTTATGACTCCCTGATACTGTAGAATAGAGTTCCATTCTTCTTCAGTTAGTAATATAGATTGATTATTTTTCCCTCCAATCTGGATATGAGGTTCAAAATTATATTCAACGGATAATCCAATATTGATAAATTTGGTTTGAGATTTATTTAAATAATATCGTTTAGCACTAATAATCGACGAATCGTCCACTTTTTCCGATTCACACGTACTGGTACCACTGATTTTGCTAAACATTTTGTAGATACTAACGTTTTTTAAAAGCAAACATTTGCTTTATATTCCTGATACTGTTATGAAAAAAGTGGGGAGGAATAAAATAAACTTTCTTTTTTTTTTTTTTTTTTTAAATCATGTTTAGTAATGGCTTTTATTTTTTAAAAACAATAATATAGTACATATTATTATAATACAAATTGATATAGTTGAAACTAAACCTATTAAAAATCCATTACAATTGCTATCTGTACATGCTGCTGTTTCATTCAATTTAATCCAGTTTGAGTAAATAGTTTCCTTATTGTTTAAATAGAATTTAATTTTAAAATAATTACATTCTCTTGCACAGTTTTCAGTTAAATTATAATTGTATACATATGGATAATTGCTAATGTATGTCAATTCCATATTTTGATAGCAATCAGTATCGTTTTTGTGTTTATTAATACAAATTTTTGCTGTTTTACTAGTGGGAATATGGTTAACATACATTTTATTTCCAATTATGGAAAATAGTACAATTAATGGAGCTACAATCATTGTTCTAAAAATACTAACACTAACCTACTTAAAAATATGATTTATATACTAATTTCAACTATGTCATCCCTTTAGGTCAATAAATAACACAAGTTCAATGCCAGAACTGCGAAGAAATAGATAATAATGTGTTTTTCAAATTTCACTGCGGTTTTCACATTTTTATCTTGAATATTCTTCAATCTTAGGGATTCACTTACACATTGAGCATAGGGGCAGTTTTTGCAATATATCAAGTGTTCTTCCAATGGTGAATCATTGACTTCCCAGTTGTATGCTTGAATTTTACAATAGGGGCACTGACAAATATCCGAAACTTGAGTATAATAAAATCCAGCCTTTGCCAATTGCACAGGGCTTAATTTGCCTTTCCAATTTTTGAAACTTAATATTCGTTGTTCGAAATTTTTATAGGTTAAGTAATCTTCGGGAACTGAATCTTTCATAATCACCATGTTATCGTCTTCTGCGCACATGATAGAAATGTTTAATAAAAGAAAAAACAAATATTTCATTTATATATTCAAAAGCTGACGGGGGGGCGTTAAGCGGGGCTTTTTATTTTTTGTTTCACCTTCATTCTCCATAAGTAGTGCTTTCAGTGTATTTACCATACTCTCAATTGCGGAAATATCTCGGTGGCCCCACGCCAACGTTTTTGTAGTACTTGAAAGTAGATATCGTTTATCATCATGGCTGCTCAATGCAATTTTACTTATTAAATTTGTATATATATTATGCATATCAGATTTAAAAACATACATTGTAACATAAATCTTATCATTCTTTTCAACTACATTTTTATAAAGGGATAGATCTAATTGTTTTTTTATAGTCGATTTGGATATGCCTTTTGCCTTTTTATCTAAGCTATTTTTAGTTTTTACGCAGTAGGCTTTACTTCCGGTTCCATAAAAGCTTTCAATGGGAATCCCACAATATTCATCTTTAAATTTACCAACTACTGAGTCAGTAATAGGCATATTATGCATATTAGGCGTGGAATAATTGGATGTATCAAACTTTACCAAACTTTGTTTCATATCTTCGTAAAAGTTATCGGTCTGAATCTCCAATATCAAGCTATCCGTGTCAGTATATAACAAAGAAATATTGTTATAATATATTTTTTTCAAATGCCCATAGTAAAAATCATACATTACAGTTTTTGAAATATCCAATACACACATACCCACGTAAATAGGCTTGTCGTATGTAATGCATATTTTTTGAAGTTGAATTGCTACTAAATTTTCTGAGAAAATTTTCAAGTCTTTAAATTGTGGTTTGGCAATTAACCTTTCAGCACATAACTTTTTACCCGATCGTTCCCACTGTGTCACCAACTTAATATCGACTCGTTTCTCAACATTTTCCATAGTTTTTCCATATATGCTATTATTCGCTAGTTTATAAGAATTTTTGTGAAATTTGTTTTTTGCAGCGTTTCGTAACCTTGTATTTAAATCAATGTATGATTTCAACCAGGGCGATTGAGAAAATTTTACTCCTCTGTGAACTTTCAAAATTTTAAGTCCAAGTTTCAAACATTGTTTTAAATTACGATAATGTATAACATAGTTATACTTATTATTCAAATTAGGAATAAGTTTAGGATATTTTGATATTGGAGGTGTCATTTGTTCTGGACAAAGAGGTAAATCGTTATGCTTATCGTGGAGATTTTCAGGGTACTCAAGGTCAACCTCAAACACATAGCCAATATCTGCATTGTCTGAGAGTTTTGAAATTTCAATTGATTTTATTTCATCATCAGAAACCCAGGAAAAGTCTTTTTGTGGCAGGTATTGACTCATAGCATAACCATATAAATTGGTGGCATCTAGATAGGCAATATATGTGGTTGGAATATTTTGATTAAAAGTGTCAAGGAATGGATTATTTGCTTCAGATTTGCGAGATGTGCAAGTACTGACTCCACCTCGAATGCCTTTTTTGAAAAAATGAAGCATATCTGGATCTGTTATCAGCTCTAATTCGACATTGCTCAATTTCATCATAGCATCCCAACACATTGATGGACTACTTACATAGTTAACCGGGTCGAGTTTATATGTTTTAAGACATAGTGTTCTATAATTTTCGAAAATATCCGCCAACAACAAAACATCTGATTTAAGATAAATGTCAGAATATTCACCCAAAGTAGAACAGTTGAATAACTTCCACACTGACACCGCGCGTTCATAATCCTCAGCGGATATATTTTCATCAATTATGTTATTATAAAATTTATCTTTGGATGGTAGGGATACTTCGTTCAATTTTTCATATGAATCTATATATGAATATGGAAACACACCTTTTTGTGTAATTAATTGAAATTTGTTTTTTTCTGTGAAATGTTTTTTGATTTCTAGACATTGTGAATCTTCCAGAGTCTTGGATAGTGAGTCCAAAGACTCTGGTAAAAATTGAAAAGAGTCTATAAAACTTAATCTAAGCACTATTTTGTGTTTTGCATGGTAATCAACTACAATTTCTTTGCTAAATGAAATGTATTTTTCTTTATTTTGAGCAATTACATGAATATTTTCTTTATTTTTGCCTAGAGATTTAATAAATAGGTGACTATCATAATTTTTGAGACAGTGCAATACAACTGGAATTTGTCTAGGAATCTGATAGAAAAGATTGCATATGACATGGGCACTTCCTCTATACTCTCCTGTAATATGGCAGTGATCCCTACACTTTAAAAAATTACCCTCTGAAAATGGTTTTTCGCAAATATGGCATATATTTGCATTGTCGTACTCTTTTTGCTGGTTACTTGTTAACTTCTTCATGGCAACTTTGTTCTTCAAATATTTATGATAGATACTTACAACATCTTTCTCAATTAATTCTATAAATTTTTCAGCACAGTTAGTCCCGTGATAAATCTTAAGAGATGAAATATTATCATCAAATGATGATTTAATATAATAGCCAAAAGAATATGGTACATGTTCGGCAACTTTTTTTGTGTATGAGTTTGTAGGATCAACATTACCATCATCAACATTTTTTAAATAACATTCAAAATCAGCATAAATTGTAAATGGTGCCTTATATTGCTTCTGTATATTTTGGAATTTTAATATGTTTGCAGGCATTTTATTACCAAATTTATCTAAAATAATATTATCTGAAGGTAAATCAATTCGCACGTGACTGCAATCATTATCTGAATGTTTTTTCAATTTTTCATAAGTGCCAAAGTTTTGTAAACAGCCATCACAAAGATGCTTTCTTTCTTTCTTTTTTGATATTTGTTTTGAAACTAAACTACTTAAATCTTTTATCCAACAATAATGATTATTACCATCTTCGGTAGTTACCAAAAGTAAATTTACGTGCACATTTTTCTTTAGAGGATTATAATGTAATGGACCTACAATCTCATTCACATGTTTTCCGTTTTTTAAAAATCTTTCAATACCATATACATTAATGGATAAATTATTATTTTATTCAAAAATTTTAATATCCTTTAAAACAACAGGAAACTCTATATTAGAAAAATCAAATACTTCACTGAAATTTGGATATGAAGAAGTTTGTTGGGGGTCCCCTTTTGGCTCACACACTGCAGAAACCATCGCCCAGGCAAAACAACAATTGTCTGTATTCCGAATATTGATCAGACACTTTGATTTGTAGTATGGAATTGCGATATATGATGATGCACTCAGTGGGTTGTGTTTGTTGATATTTAATTCCAAATGGAGAATTTTTTGTAGGATCCATCCTTTAAAATAATACATTATGTAAAAAGGTTTAGAAAAATAACTTGACCTACCCGAATCCCTTTCTGGTAATTCATCTGCTTTAGATAAAATGATTTTTGCAAGACTCTCATAAATTTCGTCTAGATTTGTTGATTCAACAACAATGAAAAATGGCGTATTGAAAGATTTAACCGACATATTTTTTAACGTTGGGGAAAAGTATACACCAAACAACTCGGCATTGACTTTTATAGATTGGTGTTCTTGCTGCTTCTGTCGTATAAGCAAAAAAATATTCTCTCTTGCTTCATTCAAAAAGTATTTGATATCCACGTGATATTTTTGGGAATATATTTTGTACGAAGCTATACGACATTTAAATGCACTTCTAATCATATCAATTCCATTACCATATTTAATAGTGCTATTATTTTTATGAAGATTTGTCTTCAAATGTGCATTCCAGGTTTGTTTATCGACATTTTTATTGCACTCTTGACAAAAACGAGTTTGTTCTTTTTTAAAAAAAGTTTGCTCGACTGTAAAAAATATTACATAAGTGAAACCCAATCAAAAAAATATGAAAACGCTTACCATCAATTATGTAATCTTCTACTTTTGAGGGATCATTCGGTTTTACACACGTTTTCAAAATGTGTTTTTTAATGTATCTTTTCTGCTTAAACTCTTTCAAGCAATGTGTGCATACAAAAGCCATGGTTACTAAACTAATTTTATTTACAGACTGATTTATATTATAAATTTATGCCCCTTCTCTTTTTTCAAAGAAATAGGTACACAAATTTGCTAACAGATTGTTCTGTCTGTCTATATTATTTTTTATCTCTGATAAAGTTTGAATACAAAAATTTTCTTTCATATTTTTTTCCAAATTTATTTGATTGAAAATAATTGACTTCATTGCTGAGCTACACTGCCTCAAGTCAGTTCTTGAAAAATTAGTTTTATTCTTCAAATTAATAAATTTTGAAAGATCCTGACTATTTTTCAGATCTTCTGTTTGGTGGTGTATTGTGTTTTGAATCTCATCATTAAGTTCTAAATTTGGAAAAATAGTTCTATCAGAAAGAGAAGAGTCGCTACATTCTTCTATTAAATCAAAAGTATTGATTGTTGAATTGTGTATAGCTTGGGATGTTGAAGGTTGGGGAATTAGATTTTGAAAAATATCAACATTTACATCTTTTTTTCCATATGAAATCTCAACGTCAGAAGAATGTGAAAAATTGAAACAATCTGGAAGAGAATTGTTGGAAAAATCTGAAAAATTATTATCTATACAACAACTTAAACACTCTTCAAACCCATGTTCTTGACAAACGTTATTAAAATTCAAGTCATTAAAAGTAGTATTCTCAGCATTGTTTAAATAATTTGAAAGTGACTCATCATTGAAAAAATGACTTACCGGATCACACATTTGCACAAAAGTATCAAACAAAAAAACAAGATATAAAAAAAAAGAACTTAACCGAAGATCAAACAAGTTGTATCTGAACTGAAATTTTCAGGAGATTTTATAAGACCAAAAAGGGCGTTCACATATTTTTGAACCCCGCTCGATACCCACACTCGGTAATCTTTCGGCCTGGTTCAACATAAATCTTAAATCTTAACCCATTTACGTTAAGGTAGGTACTGTTTTTTTTTTTCTGCAATACCTTTTCAAAATTTATGGGTAAATATCTTATCCACTTTCTCGCGAAATGTTGAATTGTGTTTTTGAAAGTTTAAAAGTCCATACAATGTAGCCTTAATTCGTGGTTTCAGAGAGATTTACAATCGAGTTTTTAAAATTTAAAACTACATACAATGTTGCACTCATTCGTGGGTAGTATATCACGGTACTTCTTTTTTCAGGATGTTTTTTTTTTGGTGAAATCTTGACCATTTTTAAAGAGCAGTTCACAACTGGGTTTTAATGTTTAAAAGGTTTATTTAAATTTGTTGCTTCAACCTACATCGAAAACAAGATTTGTAGATATATTGTTGCAAGTAGAAATATTTTTTCTTGTGCAGGTGGCCCATCCAAACAAGAGTGGGTTGTATCTGTATTGGCAATTTCAGGATTTATCTTTAACTGTTTTTTATTTCCAATTTATTGGTGGTCATAATTTCTGTCACTTTTTAGAAAGTTTAAGACCTGTATTTAATTGGGAAAACAATCCTTATCTTGAATCAAATCGATATTTGGGGGCTCTTTAGCACACTCTTCCTATCTCTTATGGAAAATGGCGGACACATTGGTTAAATTATCATTGTTAATACTGTAACCATTTAACATTCTTTTTTTTCTTTTATATTTAATAAAAAATAAAAAAAATCTACAAACTATTTTTTAGTGAGATCGATAACCCTCTATAGCCACCAAAAGGCGATTTTACGGTACGTTTTCATCCAAAGCAGGTATACTGCACCGTGACCAGTCTCATATGTAAAACGGAAAGTGTTACTGACCTTGCTCGCATAAGTTTGTTTTGAATAATTGTTTTTTTTTTTTCTGAGAAATCTTGAGCAAAAAAAATTTCATGTATGTTCATAATTTTATTTACCTCTATACAGAATAGATAAATCTTTATTATGCAGAGAAAAATATAAATGTTATTTTTTTATAGGATCAATAATCCATTGGTATTGGTATCCTGCTCTTGGGGTCAACCATGGCCAAAAATTGACCTACCTTTATTTTACCTGCCCAGAATGTGGGACTGTGGGTATAGTTACGAAACAAAGTATTTTTTTTTAAAAATATTTATTGGTTGAACAATAATTTAATTAATTTATGAGTTTTTACAAGATCTTACTCGAATAACTAATTACTAAATAAATAGTGTACAGCCCTAATATAACTATAAATAAAAAAATATACAACAAAAATAGACCTACAATAATTATAGAAATAATATAAAATGTCAAAAAACAATCACAATAAATATACATAAATGAAAGAATTATCAAATGAAAATTATTAAGTAATTATTCTAATTTTTTTTTGTCTAAAGTATGATTACTAATATTCTGAGGTTTAGTTTTGTTACACATTATGCAGACCGGTGTTGGAATTTCTAAGAAAAGAATTGTTTTACATGTTGCGCAGCATAGATCGTCTTTTTCACAACAATAAAATTTTCTTTGATAGTGCGTGTTGACGAATTTGTGTTTTCCTAGAGGCACTTCCAGACCATGGTAGTAGTGACAATTTAAACACAAACTGTACAGTCCTCCATAAATCGATTCGATTACCACATATGATTGGATAACACATATTTGTTTATCGATATAATTTGGTAAAACTGTATCACTTGCATTAATTTGTTTCACTACTACATCTGCCTTTTCACCACAAGCTGGAATGTCAACCTCGTCTACACAAATCGCTTCGTCGTCGGAATCTTCATCATCTTCTGTTATATTGTTTTTGTCGATGCTTACTAGAATTTGATGTCTTTGTCTTGATTGATTATTCTTGTTAAACACTAATTCTTCATCTTCATAAATTGATGTTATTTTTTGATCTAATGTCGACATGGCAACTTTTTTTGAAGTAAAACAGATCACTCTCTTCGACATTTTTTTTTTTTCACTTTTTCTCACTACTTTCTCTTTAAAAAAAAATCGAACTATTGCTAAAATTTACCTCAGTCCGAGACATTAAATATCAAGTCAGAGGAAAAAAAATATATACTTCCACTCTGAAATTGGGTTGGGCTTGCATGGTGTACCAGCCCTGATAAAACCCCATAACTAAAAGTGGTGGTCAAAAAAGTTGTTTCAGTGGTGGCCCAGTAGCCGAGAAATTTTTAAAATTTTAAACTTAACCACAAAGGAGCCACTAAAGGCGGTGCTTAATTCAGAGGTGAGTGAGGTGGTGGTCAAAAAAAAAGTTGTTTCAGTGGTGGTCATTTGTGGTGGCGGAATTTTATGGGGCGGGCGGTCTGCGGCAGTAGGAAATTCGCGGTGGACGACTTGTGGCGGAAGAATGGTAGGAAAGTGGCGGGTGGGCAGGCGGGGTCGTCTGGTGAAAGTAGGTCACGGAAAGTAGGTCAGCGCCAGCGCAAGGGTCTACCCCCCTATTCCATCTACTCATGAGTGGAATTGCCGCTCCAATTTATTATTCACTCATTTTTTTTTTTTTTTTTTTCTCTTCAATTTATATTAACAACTTTTCTATTTATACCTTTTTTTTATTATTCATTTGCGTTATTGAGTTTCAATAACATATTTTTGCATTTAAATTTAATCGTTCAGGACTATAGTAATTATTTCACAAGTATTGCATTTCTGTATTTGTTAGTTAACGCTTCATGACAAGGTCATTTTATTAATTGCTAATTTACTTGATTATTATTATTTTTTTAAATTCAAATTATTGTTCATTGTGGACTGCGGCCATTCGGTGAATAAACAACTGTAGCACTTGATTTCTTGACTTTTATTTGGTTTTATGCACACAGCCTGGTTATTGCTAATATTTTTCTTTTTTTTTATATAATTATTATTTGAATTGTAAGAACCTGAAGCCAGATACCATCCTGGAGAGTCCGACTCATCTGTTCAGAGTCGGTGGCGCCCAAAACTGAAACCCACCCCTACTCTCCGAATTATTTAGTTCTGAGCTAGGGCATAATTTGCACGCACTTCGACCTTTTTTTTTTTTAATTTATTTTTCTAATTTTTTTTTTTTTCAATAAACTTTTCGTAATCAGCGAAAAGGCGTGGCAAAATATACAAATGTATGTTTTTATTAATGTACGACAGCATAATTGGTTAGGTTTGATTGATGTAGGAGCTTTAAAGTCACACCAATCCTTTCCTTAGCTCCTGAAATAGTTAACAGAAATGCATAAGAAGCACTTGGAATCCATACATTATTTAAAACATTATTTTTTTCAGCATGGGTCAGCACTTTCTCACGAAAGTGACTGATGTCGTTAAAATACCGGTGTCTGCACGTTTTTCTAAGGTATTATTCTCATTGTCAAATTCAAATGCAGTAGATGCAGAAATATTTGGAGATGATGGCCGGGAATTAATCTCGATATTCTCGATGAAGGCAGGTGTGGAAAAGTTTGAACATGGTGATAATAATTCCGTTGACTTCACAACATTAAGTTTTGCTTTTTTTCCCGATTTTCCGCTGTGCTCAAGCTGACTCATCGCGTCTTAGTAACATTGAGTGGGAAATAGTAACAGAACCATTACAGATTTATTATGGACTGGTAATATTACTTGTTACAGACAAAGTTAGGAAAATATATAATATTCATGTAATAGTAATTTAACGATGTTTGCTGGGGCTACATATAAAGTATTTTTATCCAAGAAACTCAAACCTTCTGTACCCGATGAGGTAACTTATTAGCTTCTCGGCCGTAGGTCTAAAAATGCATAACTCATTTAATTTCTCCTTTATCTGCAGAATCAATAATTCTCATATGTATGAGCATCACTGTATACCTATTTATATGTAGTTTTTATTGGAGATATTTCAAATAATAGGTTCATTTGTCATCTACAAACAAATAAATTGGCGAAAATATTATATTTCTATGAGGCACCTATCCATCAAAAAACATTCAATCTTAATAATTAGGTTTTCCATATATTTCAATGACTGACTCTTGATGATTTGTTGCTATCAAATCTGAAATAAATACTTATATTGTTATTTAATAAACTATTTTTCTTATCGCAATATTCATATCCAATCTAATTGAATTATTATTTCCTATTTCTAATCCCGGATTTATCCATTGCAAAAATATGTTCGACTTTTTCCTGATTTTTTGCGCCGTTTTTATTAGTATTTCTAGTCAATATCATCCTTTATCCCAAGAATACATTGCCTGGATCAACAGAAATCAGACAAACTGGAAAGCTGGAAGAAATTTCAATGTTTCCGAGTGGTCTAAAGTGAAAAACATGGCATCGGGTATGTTGGAACCTATACTGTAATATTTATATTAAATAAGTTATATCCATAGTGATTAATAATTTATGTTTCATTATTTCGTGGTATAGATGTCACCTTATTAAAAGCTTTTGAGCTTCTTTAAATAATATTCCATTTCCATTAAAGCTTTTGTTAGGCAATGAAAAAACAAATCAGCATGCTTGAATTCATAGGTTTCAGTTCTCGCCCGACTTAATGACTACACTCTGATATACATCATTTGATTTAGTAAAAAAATTATATAGTTGGATATGAATTGGTCTGTTAATGGGTGGCCTATCGGAAAGGTATTGCAAGACATTACAGATTTTTTGGACAAAATCTAAAAATACGTCAACTTTGTTTGTCAGAGAGACAATTTTTGAGGTGAAAAGCATAGCAAAACCTTCCAACCCCTAAGTGGGGGTATCATCCACACTTTTTTCAAATGGGAATGATGGTTTTGAAGAAGGCTTCCAATTCCCTACCCACTTTGTGAAACTAAGCAGCAATGTGCTTAGTTTTACAAAATCGATCCACTCATTTAGAAAATATGGAGCTTTGAAATACCAACAATAGGTACAAGTCAGGTAGTTGCTAGATAGCTGTCTTGTGGTTGAATTTTTCTTTATAAAATATGGAGTATTTATTTGCAGAGAGAGTAGACATTGATCGGGTCGCGCAGCTGTTCAACCAGCGTGATCCTGACAAACATGTTTTTTGAGTAAAAGACAATTGGCCGTTACTTCGAACGTGAGTCTTACGATTTTTTGGTTTTTCGAAGCTCCATATTTTCTAAGCGAGTGGATCGTTTTTGTAAAACTAAGCAGCAGTTTATAGGTATGAGGTAGGTATCACCTGACCCCCATTCTTATTTGAAAAAACTTGGGGGATGACACCTCCACTTAAAGGGTGGAAGGTTTTGTTATGCTTTTTACGACAAAAGTTGTCCCCCTAACAAACAAAGTTGACGTGTTTCGGGATTTTGTCGGAAAGATATTTCCCAGTATTTAATGCCTTGCGGTACGTTTTCGTATTATATTTCGTATTCCTCTATTATTTTTAAGGTGCCTGGAAGAATCCTACGACCATTCCGCCATTTAACAGGCAATATTCCATTCTGAAAGCAAATATTCCAGAACATTTTGATGCCAGAAGGAAGTGGCCAAAATGCCAATCCATTAATCATATTTGGGATCAGTCTCATTGCGGCTCTTGTTGGGTAATAATAATTCCAATTTCCCATTTCAAAAAAACACAAGTGATTTATTTGTTCGAACAAAATTGCAGTGGTATCATTTTTGTAGGCAGTCAGTGCAGCCTCAACAATGTCCGACAGAATTTGCATTCACTCAAACCAAACTCTACAATATTATATTTCACCCGAAGATTTGCTTTCTTGCTGTTGGGAGTGTGGCAAAGGGTGTCTTGGAGGTGGAATTCCTAGAGCATGGTGGTATTGGGAGACCTATGGCATCGTGATTTATAGCTGTAGGCCGTACAGCCTCCCACCTTGTGAACACCATTTTAATAAATTTGAGTCTCGTCCCCATTGTGACGATTTAAGACTCAACACACCTATATGTCTTCGAAAATGTTACAATTCTTCCTTAGATTATCAAAGTTCCCTCACTTATGGTGGCAGAGTGCAACAATTCACTTCAGAAGAAGAAATTCAATTTGAAATCATGCAAAATGGCCCTGTAGAAGGAGCTATAGATATTTTCGATGATTTTTTCAATTATAAAAGTGGCGTGTACATAAGAACCAGTGACAAATACATTGGAGGGCACGCCATTGAAATTTTAGGTTGGGGCATTGAGAATAAAATAGAATATTGGCTATGTTCCAATTCTTGGAACAGTGATTGGGGAGATGGTGGATATTTTAGGATCTTACGTGGACATAATCATTGTGGGATAGAAGATCAAGTTTTTGCCTCTCTGCCAAGAATATAAATGAAATTCTGACAATAAATGAAAAGTGTGGAATAAGTGAATGGCTTTTTTTTGTACCTAGAGCATAGTGAGATTTCAAATCGCAAACGTGAAATTTGATAAGAGGAGAGTAAATAGTTGGCTTAAAAAAAAATCCCTTCTGTTTAATTACTAAGTATAGACACGTTACTAAAGTTCATTTCACGAGACGAGATAGTAGAGGTAAACAAACTGGCGGAGTGCAGAGCAGGGACTGCAAAAATATGAATTACAACAGACGCTACGAGTGATGTCAGGTTGTCACATTGAGTTTTCATATGAGTCAATAAGTATTTTTATCTACAAGCGTGCGGTAACTAAGGTATATTACACGATTTTGCGTGCGGTAAGTACCATATTATATTACCGCACTCTGTATAAAATAATGACAAAATATGTATATATTTTATTTTCTTTATTATACAAATAACAACAAATTAATAACTAACTTAAGACGCTTTGCCCTAAAAATGATATTATAAAAAATTATTTTTTAATTTTTATGATAATTGACGAATTTGTCATATTTTCAATTTTTAAACATGGAACTTCACCAGCATTTGTAAAAACTGATGTCACTGATTGTGAGCAGCTTTCCTCCACCACAGCTTCAGTGACTTTTCGGCAGCTTCCTTGCTGAACCTGAACCGTATTGTGGGTAG